TCATTCCGACCAGTCTTTATCTTCAGATTACCCCCGCTGAGCTTCAACGAACCCTCCTGAGGGTCTTCGAGCGCGCCTGGGGCAAATTGGGGGCTGCTTCTCGCCGCCACGGTGAAAAGATATCTCACGGTAAGCAGCAGGTCGGCCGATGGGAGGGGCGGCTGCCTGTGGAAAGGCCCGTAGTGCTATTGCCCGTAGTCATTTCCTTATCGGGAGCCTTTACGCAGTCAGCCAGAACATCCGCGTGGATTGCACGAGGGATGCGGAAAGCAACCGAATGCTTAGTGCTGGTTAAGATGTACGTGCTGTGAGTTGCAGTGGCGGTGGTACTGGACTTCAACGATATGTCTCAGTTGGACCTTGCTGCTTATTCAACGCACCGTCTTTTGGGGGATATTGGGGAAGTCTTGCGAGCGTATTGCCCTTGGCTTGTATATAAGATCGTCGTTTTCAAGCTGCAGTTCGCGAGGGAATTCCTGTGGGAGCTTCTCAGGTAGGTTAAGCACTGGATAAGCACCTCTTCGTGACGGCTGCATTTATCTTCTCATTTGCGTGCCTGCAGTAGTAAGCTCAGTAGTCTTGTAGTGGACTATAAAACGCCCACTGTTGACGGAGCGTTGTACGTACTTGCTCGGGCCTGCCTGGACTGGCAGTAGCAGCTTCCCTTTTCTTACCTTCTCGTTTGTCTCATGCTTTCGGGGTTCAGACCAGCTCTGCATGCAAACTGCCGCGTTGTGACGGCAGAGGATGAGGACGAGCTGCTTCAGGAGATCCAAGCAGACGGGTGAGCCGTTTGTCAACCAGCTGGCACACACTGTGCACAGGAACCCATTGTGCAGCGCATAATCAGCCGATTCAGCGTTTTCACTTCCTCTCTACTATTTTATACCCTAAAGGCATTTCCTGGCTTGAAGTACGGAATCCTCTTAAAACCGTATTCTGTGATGAAGTGTTCAGGTTTTAGATTGCACTGCAGATTTTTAAGCTCCGGCATGCGCTATAGGCACTGCATGCTGAGTACTGCTGCATGTTTTTATGCCACTGTATATGTTTTCGAACTATTTGATAACCTGAAATGTATGCCTGTATCCATTGAAGGGTCTGCATCAACTTGCCCTTTTGAATGGCCCAACAATATTGTGTGTTTTGGCCCAGGACCTTCATCCTGCATACTCTTGGAGGTTTCAATGAGTGTAGCGTGTTGCGGTGTCGCCGGCCTGTCTACCGTTTGCCACAGCCTCCCCAGCCACTGGGCGCGAGCGAATGGTTCAGTAAGGAGGGAGAAACAACGGATTTCTGGGAAGACATGCAAAAACTGTACGCGGAGGCGCCGGGAGCCCCACCGGAGGAAGAGCCTGTGGACGACATCAAAACCAGCGCCAGTGACCAAATCAATGCGGCATTATCAAGGCAAATGCAAGATGAAAGCAGGTAACTTATGGAGGTATCGGCACCTCACTGACTGACTTCAGCCAACAGCGCACCTTCCTCAAAGACGTTGGGCTGCTTGTCGACGGGACCGCGACGATAATGCTAAGCCAACATTCCCAGTTTGATCAACCCACTGTTACATGCATTCGTTCACA